TGCTGTGAGCGTGATGCCATGGCACTCTACCCAGGGGGATAGCTTGAGGCTCCGTCTTAAAAAAAAAAAAAGAAAGAAAAATCACAAGGTCTTTCTAGTGATTGACTAAAATCCAGTACAAATGAACTGTTTTATATATTTGAGACTTTATAACTATTGGCATAATAATAGAACTTTTAATTTAAAAAACTGCAGGAGGCGGAGGCAGATGGATTGCCTGAGCTCAGGAGTTCAAGACCAGCCTGAGCAAGAGTGAGACTTCATCTGTAAAAATAGCCAGGCGTTGTGGCGGGTGCCCATAGTCTCAGCTACTTGGGAGGGTGATGCAGGAGAATCGCTTAAGCCCAAGAGTTTGAGGTTGCTATGAGCTGTGATGCCACAGCACTCTACAGAATGACATAGTGAGACTCTGTCTCAAAAAAATAAAATAAAACTAAACTGTGTTTAGGTACTTTACACTGGAAATATTTAGATGTATTAATTTAACACCTCTGAGAAGAAACCAATGAATTATACTTACTTTAAACATATTTAATAACAATGATACCCAAATTCATTAAGAAATGAAAGAAAACAAGAATTTGGGCGCATGTGCTTTAGATACATTTTCACTGCAGATACTTCAGAAATCATTTTGGAAACAGAGACAAACATATACATATTCATTCACAGAAAATGCCATTTACAGTTTTAATATCAGATAGTCATCATAGTTCACAAAAGAGCATAAAGTGCAAAAGCTCCATTTTCAAAGGCCGTAAATCACTCCCAGGCAATGGGGATTCAATTTTACCATAGCTAGTAGTCACGCCACTCTTATACAGCACACCCAATATAAGGTATAAAATAAGGTATATATCTGAAAATACTATATTTGCTCTGGTTACATATTGTGGTTATAAAACAGTCTTAAATACAGTTTAACATATAGGGAAGGATACAATTCAAACAATTAGTCCCTTAATGTAGAGGCCATTTTTCTTTAATCTGTAGGTGTAATGATGTCTATAAAAATCCACTGAGAATCCCAATCTGGCCCAAGCTTCTCTGACCAGCTGGAACAACGGCACCCAGACAAAGCCTTGGCTATAAAAGGTTTCAAGTTCATTTGGGGGGAAAGGAGCAGAGAGGAACCCTGGCTGGACAAGCTTCAGCTCTCACCTGCCTCCTAGAGATGGTTCCACATTAGTCCCAAGGGATAAGGTGCCAGGGAAGGCTCAAATCCCAGTCCCAGAGCCTTCAGCCTCGCCCTGGCTCACTAAAGCATGATGAACTAGTGAGAGAAGTTTTTACACGCCTGAGAAACCCACTCCATGGGACAGGTGGCAGCATTTCCACAAAGCCTGTGTTTGATAACCATCAAGCCTTGCCCCCAGTAGAATGCCTTTCATCTACAACTAATGTTTTAGGCACTGTTCATTGGACAGGCAGTGTTCCCCCAAAATGTAGCCCATTACCAAAAGGATTCAGACTTCTCATCCCCACATACCTTAAATGTGCTCACTAAAGGGCTGGCTTTATAATAATATAATCATAAAGAGGAAAAAAGGTTTATTCTTCTAATAATCAACAATCAAACACTCTAAGAATCACTTGACTAGAAGGATCACTTGGTAACATCAATGGTTTTTTATATCCTAAATCCAGTTCCTGATGGGTATTGATCTTGGGCAAACCAGAACAAAATCTGACAGCCAGGCCAAGTAACCTCTGCTGTGACCTTCCTAACTCCTAAATGTCTACTGAGGAAAAAGAAGAGGGAAATTCCTGATTGTACATCAATTCATGAAATAAGACATTTTTTATAAATCTAAACATATCAAAATCTGTGAAGTCACATATTTAACAGCTATTTACTGTGACTCATTAATCCCCGTGCAGAAGCACATTAAAAAGTAGAGCTCAGTACATTACTTCCTAGGGCCCATTCATGCTAGGCCTGATTAAAAATGAAGATTCAGTAGTAATTCTCAGATCCAGTGATGAGTATTTAAGGACATAGCTAAGTCTAGTGTATTCCAAACCTTCTCTTCATGGAAAAAAATACACAGTTGGCATTTATATTCCATTTAATTTACAGAAAGAACTGTCAGCTCTAAAACACAAGTATTCACAGCCATAGTGGGTGGGGGAAAGATGAAACAGAAACAAAGAAATATACCAAAATACCAACAATGGTTTTACTTGGGCAGAAGAAATATGGGTTACTCTTTTCTTCTTCTTCTCCCTCTTCTTTCTGAACTTTTCTGTAGTTTCCAAAGGTCCTTTAAAGAGCATGTAGTGCTTTTATATAACATGAATGATGCCACGAACCCAGCTTAAACTAAGATTGGTTCCAAGTTGTTGCAGAAGTAAAAATAAATAATAAAAAAAAATTAAAAGACTGGTATAATTCTACTCTCTTGACTTATATCCATGCTGGCAAGCTATAGTGATTTCTGTTCCACAGTAGAGTCACATGTTGTCCCCCTGACTATACCCTATTCCACATGTCCTTTGCCATCCTCATCTCCTTATAACCCATCTCTAGGAAGGTCACTTTGCTTTTCATATTAAAAGCATTTCTTTTTATTTTTTTAACCTAGTTGCCTTCTAGAATAAAGAGCAAAACAGCCCAGTGCTTCCAGCCAGGCCTATTCAAACACATCTAGCAATTGTATTTTATCCCTATTTCCAGGGATTGGAGGTGGGGGTGTCTCCAAGGCCCCCCAGGAACAAGTCCTCCACTGGATAGGAAGAAATTGTCCTTCCCTAATTGTTGAGACGATGCTCCTTTCAGTGAGGAACTCTTAGACAAATTAAATCTCACATAAAAAAAAAAAAATCATTCCCCGCACCCATTCTGCTACTTATCTGTGCTTCTACACTAAGACAGCTGGGCAAACTCTCTACTTTGGAGCATTTTTATGCTGCTAAACAGAGGAGACTAGAACCCATGCCTGATAAGGTCAGTCTGAAATGAGAATGTCTGATTGTCGCCCTTTAAAAACTTGAAGCCCGGGTGGGACCTGTGGCTCATGAGTAGGGCACCGGCCCCATATACCAAGGATGGTGGGTTCAAACACAGCCCCGGCCAAACTGCAACAAAAAAATAGCTGGGCACCGTGGTTCCCACAGTCCCAGCTACTCAGGAGGCTGAGGCAAGAGAATCTCCTAAGCCCAGGAGTTGGAGGTTGCTATGAGCTGTGACACCACAGCACTCTACCCAGAGCGATAAAGTGAGACTCTGTCTCAAAAAAGAAAAAGAAAGAAAGAAAAACTTGAAGCCCAAAAGACTTAACAGCAGTTCTGTTCCATGAACCACCTAGGTCTCAGAGAGGTGCATTTGAGGTTCCACAAATGTTTAATACAAATATCATTTTTGAAAAATTTTTAAACTATGACAAAGCAACATGTACACCCATTTAACACCAAATTTTTCTACCTTGGAAATCACCAATGTGTTAACTTGTACTTTCACTACCTGATATATTACTAAGTAAATGCTATAAATTTAACATTAAATAAATTGGAGTTAATAAAATATAACTTACTTTACACATAAAGATTTCTTACTGCGAACAAGGTTCTGCTGCTAAGTAATCTGATGACAAGAGGTAGAATAAAGAAATTCATGTTCAGACTCGTAATTCAGTTGCTGATTGGGTTTCTCACCTTGGATCACCTGTGCCATTTCTCACCACATTAAAGAGCTGCTGGATGTGCCAAAAACTTGTCAACTTTTAGATTCTTAGGCCAGTGACATGACTCCTGTCCACATAAGAAGGACACGTCTGTCCTGCCTTCACCCACCAATGGAATGTTAAAAAGCAGGAGATGCCTGAGTTAAAATTATCCCTGAGATCGATAATTCCCACCTTATGCCTTGGAGACAGATTGGAATCTTTCATTCACCCCAAGGAAGAGAAGGTAAATAGTAGCCAGCGTCTCATTAGATAAGAAAAATTCAGAAGGCAACGGATTTGTCCTGCTGCACCAGCCACTCAAACCAGGCAGTGAGTGTGTGGTTACTGCCAGCACGTGGGTAGAGTGAGCAGTCAGATGCTCTGAGAAACCACAGGAAGCACCTTGTACTCCGAGGGTGAGGAGCATAGGTCCTCAGGAAAGTCAGAGAAAGCAGAGGTGACAGTTCTGAAGATAATTTCCAGAATACAACAGCATCCTGGAGGCTTCACATAAGAAAAAAAAGTTTCCAAAAAGTTCATGTTTGTTCCAAATGTTGAACCAACACCTCCACCAAAATTGTAAGGAGCCCTTTGGTAATCTTACAGAGGTCAGATCATAGGAGGTGGGTCTATTCTGTGTATTTGAGGCTACTGAGCTGAGGCAGGAGAGGGGAGGCAGAAGTAATTTCAATACTTTAAAAATTGTGCTCATCTTCAAGAACGGCTTACAGTGGAGAGCAGATTTTGGCACCGAGGGTTTTACTCGTTAGCTTTACCCTCATCTGAAAGCAAGTCTCCATCTCTCAGCAAGAGGTAGTAGTAAAAGGATTCACAAATGTTTGTAAAACCTGGGTAGTTGAGAGTTGCAAGTGAAAAACTAGCCTATTTAGCCACAAACCCTGTGTGTATTTCATTTGTTTAGTTTTGTCTAAGGGCAGTTTTCCCAAATGAAAATCTCTAGCACCTTCCATCGGAGTCAGAGGGTCTTGTCCTTGCTGGGTCTGTCTGTCAACAGTACAGTTCGCTCCAAGGTTGCCTGGGAATGGCAGGGGCTGTAGTAGGCCCCAGGCAGAGAGGCACTGTGGAGGGCTGGGTTTCTCGAAGGCCTGCTCTGCACGGCCATAAAGGATTCAACCCAAAAGCCACTGCATTTAGAAATGAGGCTGTGAAGGATACACCTAGTGTCCCTAAGCCTCTACTCTCCATCTTTGGGAAAGGGAAAGACACTCACTTCTGTGCCTAGGGGAATCCTGCAGGCTACAGACAAACTAGTTAGAGCCCAAGGGAACAGAAATTTTAAAAGACGGGCCACACCCCAACTCACTGACCCCCCTTGGCTGTCTTTGCTAGCAAATGAAGCCCAGTGCATGAGGGAAAACAGGCAGAGAAGCCAGCCACCACCTTGCTATCATGTGATCTTGACTGGAGATTTCTTGTTGGCGCACAAAAGGGACACATAGGGGACACCGATGAAGGCCCATTTCTCGCTGGGCCAGAACTTGATGACAGGCCCTTGCTCGGGGATCTCTGAGGCAGCATCAAAGTAGGCAAAGCACACACAGCCCAGGTAGGCCGCAAGGCAGATGAGGATGTGCCTGCAAAGGAGACAAGCCGTGAGAACCTGACAAGCCAAGACTCTGCCTTAGGTTTAACCTGCTCCCGCAGTGGGCCGATCCCCTTCCCTGATGGTCGCTCCAGCCCAGGGGCCTCTTCCAATGAGGAAGGGATGAAAACCACCAACCACCCGTGGAAGAGCAGGATGATAAACCTGGAGTTGAGCAACTCAGGACTCACCTTAGAATGTTATAAAAATACTATTGTTTGACAATAGGAATAAATGTGCAAATAAATGCCTCAACCAAGAAGACTGAGGCCCAAGGGTTTAAAACGGAGGCGCCAAGATGGAAATTACTGAACACATCTGATCAGATCCCACCATCTCACTTTAACAACTGGTTGTAGATATTTCATGCCCTTCACCAGGAATAGGTTTATACTGATTAAATAGCTTCTATAGTTCAGTAGGCAAATCTTTTTTTTTTTTTTTTTTTTGGTAAATTTAACCTCACTGTGCCTATAAAAAGTTTTTAATAGTAATTTTTATTAAGGAATGAGCCATTGAAAGGCATGTGATCCTTCCTTATACCCTATACTGCTATACTGAAACTTAATCCCAGATGAATTACAATACTTAAAATCTATTTTTAGACATATTTAAAGCAAATATTTTTATAAACTTTGGTTGGGGAAAGGCTCTTCTTAGGATACAAAGTCCAGAAACCCTAAAGAAAAGACTAACACTTCTATGTGACTACATAGAAGTTTAAAACCAGTATGGCACAAGCTCTCTGGGAGGCCAAGAGCGTGATGGATGGCTCATTCCTATAATCCCAACTCTCTGGGAAGCCAAGGTGGGTGGATCCCCTGAATTCACAAGTTCAAGACCAGCCTGAGCAACAGCAAGACTTCCGTCTCTAGAAATAGCTGGGTGTTGTGGTGGGCGCCTGTAGTCCCAGCTATTCAGGAAGCTAAGGCAAGAGAACTGCTTGAGCCCAAGAGTCTGAGATTGCTGTGAATTATGACACCACAGCACTCTACCAAGGGCAACAAAATGAAACTCTATTTCAAAAGAAATAAGTAGGCTCAGTGCCTATAGCTCAA